GGTATCTAAAGCAACAAACAGTACAGGCATCAATTTCAAAGGTATCTAAAGCAACAAACAGTACAGGCAACAATTACAAAGGTATCTAAAGCAACAAACAGTACAGGCAACGATTACAAAGGTATCTAAAGCAACAAACAGTTCAGGCATCAATTACAAAGGTATCTAAAGCAACAAACAGTTCAGGCATCAATTTCAAAGGTATCTAAAGCAACAAACAGTTCAGGCATCAATTTCAAAGGTATCTAAAGCAACAAACAGTACAGGCAACAATTACAAAGGTATCTAAAGCAACAAACAGTACAGGCAACGATTACAAAGGTATCTAAAGCAACAAACAGTACAGGCAACGATTACAAAGGTATCTAAAGCAACAAACAGTACAGGCAACAATTACAAATTGAGGCTAAAATAAGTCACTTTGTTCAAAGATTTATTGAAGAATGTATCATTCTTTAAAGCTTCCTTTTTTTTGTAATTAGTGTGTTGGTTTGAATGTATAACTGTTCGTATGACCTTTATGTATATTTTTATTGTTATATTCGTTTTATTGTTTTAATTCTACCAATAAAATGTTAATGAGAAAAAAGGGCCATAGCGACTCCAATTGCTCACGAAAAACCTTTCTGAAGAAATTCAGCTCTTACTGGAATATTTTGTTTTACTGAGGTTATGGGGCCAGGTACAGCTTGGCACCCCTAAGGGTCGGCCCACTCTAGGCGATTGCCTAGTTCGCCTAGAGTGAGTGAGCCGGCCCTGCCCCTATCCCCCCCACCCCCAGTGAAGCTTGTGGGGAGGGGGTGGGGGTGAAGCCTGCGTTGGTGTGTCTGCCTCCGCAGCCACTGTGGCCGTTCAGAAGCAAATCTTGGAAGGGAGGCAGAGGAGAAGGTCTTTGGGAGCGCAGCACTGACCATATTTCCAGCCAAGGCATTTAAAAAAAAAAAGCAGTGCAGAAAGAAGGAGTTGGGGGAGGCCAGGTGGTCGTGGTGGTGGGCAGTGTTCCCTCTAAGCTGAGTCGGTGTGAGCTAGCTCACATTTTTTTAGCCTCTGGCTCACACATTTTTTCCCAGCTCAGGAAGGATGGGGCTCCAGAGCAAACTGATTGATGCAGCAGCCAAATGGCTCGCTCACAGCTTTAATGCCCGTAGCTCACAAGGTAGAATTTTTGCTCACAAGACTCTACAGCTTAGAGGGAACATTGGTGGTGGGGCGGCGGCTTGTGAAGTTTCTGGATTGCAGGCTCTCCAGCAGGGATGGAAAAAAACCCACTGGATTGGTGAGAGAATCGCCTCTTGTTTCCTTTCTCGGGGGTCCCCTAGTGTATTACCGGAGTCCCAGAGTCAGACACAGATCTGCCTCTCTGATTGTATTCTCATCCCGAAAGCCCCTAGGAAACCAGCGTGCAAAATGCAAGGTGTTCCCCGGTTTGCTTTGGCAGGACACATCTCCCATTCCTGCGCATTTGCGATATTCGAGCTGTGAGATCTGTTGGACTTTGACCTTTTCCTGACCAAAACCCCCCCCCAACCGGCTGCTTGGGAAAATCTGTTGTGTGTGCATGTGTGTTGGGGTGGGGGGTGGGGTGTTCCGAGTCCAAGCCGACACAATCTAGTGTTGTGTGCTTTGCTTTAGTTTTAACGACATAAAAAATCCTGTCTCTCCAGAGTGACAGCTTGGCCCATGAGAACTTGGGGCTGTTCCAATTTGATTTCGGCAGATGTAGCAGAAAAACTGAGCCATCTGGTTTTTTTCCTTGTTTTTGTTTTCAGAAGGCTATTTTCTGTTTTACTTCTTTTTGCAAAGAATAGGCCAGCAGAACCAGTGCTTGGGGCTTTGATCTGCTGGCAATGATGTGATTTAAAAAACAACAACAACAGCAACCCCACCAGGAGAACATAAAGCGCAGCATGGAAGGGTGGTCCGGCAGCCGGGATTGGCACCATCTCCTGGCTCCCCATGAAGGAGAAGACCCCCCAGCCACATGTCTCACACTGTCTACGTGAGTCATCCGACCCAGGTAAGGGAGGGAGAGACCACCCCTGGGCCTTTTCCCCATGGATGTTTTTGTGTGCATGGAAATTGAATTGCCCTGGCCTTCAGCCGTCCCCAGGTGCAGAGGTGCAGTCTGCTAGGAAAACCCTGTCTGAGTTCAGTTTTTCCTCTTCTGCTATCTCACATTAAAAAAACTTTTATATCGGTGGCATGGACAGACCTGCCGTGTTTCCAGGCGGGGGCTTCTAATTTAGTCTCTCGTTGTTCTCTTTATTCTCTTATAACCAGTAGAAATTGTTGCTGAGCCTAAATGGCTCTCTGTATCGTTTTGGTCTTTGTTCTGGAACTACGTGATTCAGAAAAAAGCAGTTGTTCAGGAGCCTTTGTCATCTTCTAAGGATTCTCTCCCTTAAGTTAATTGGAACTCCCCAGGGGTCGTTTCGTAGAAAAAGATCTAGGGGAACTCATTAGCATAACTCATTAGCATATGCCACACCCCCTGACATCACCGGAAGTGTCATAAGGCCACACCCCCTGACATCACCGGAAGTGTGTCATAAGGCCACACACACCGCCCCCAATGGTCCCGGCCATGAGGGGCCCGGCGGTGGACCTGCAAGGCCGGCGGGAGTGCAAGGAAGCCCCGCGAAGGCCCTCCCTGGCCCCAGGCAGGCAGGGGTGGGGAGAGGCAGGGAGGAAGCAACTTACCCTCCCTCTTCTCCTGCCTCCTCCTGGCTGAATGAGGGCCGGAAGCGGGGCGGCCGGAAGCAGGGGGCGGGACTTTGTCATGTGCCCCGCCCCCCCGTACCTCACCCGGGGGAATTGCGATCTCCCCCGAAATGACCTCTGGAACTCCCTCAATGTACGCTCCCTCCCCCCCTTAAACACCCTGCCAGTCAGTGCAGCTAACAGGAGGACTTCCTTCCAGATAAGGGTTATGGAGATTTTGAAAAATGCATATGAAGCCAAAGGAAATGTTCAGGGGGGGATTTTTTATTGATGTATTTATTTTATTCAGTTTGTATTCCGACCTACCCTGCAAGCAGGCTCAGGGTAGCTTGCAGTTTTGACCGGAAAAATCCCAGAATCCCAAACCAAACTTTGTCACAAATTTTACAATGTTGTTTTGCAAAAAACTACTCGGATGGGGCTGTGTTCCATGTGGGGTGGTGCATCCATTGCCCCCTACCCCAGCCATGGCCTGGCTTCATATGTGGCATCGATGGCATAGGAGAGGTGTGGAAGTCCTTTTAAAAGTCACAGATGCAAAAACAGCCTGTGCGAACAGGGAGCTTGGGGTTGTGAAAAACTCCAGATTTTCCACTCGGGCACAGATCAGCTTCAAAGACCTCCTTTCTTATGCCTTCTGCTGAATCAGCCTGTCTTGCCAAGTATCTTCTCTGCCCGCGCAACATGGCAGTAGCTCTTCAAGGCCTCGGTCGGAAATCTTTCCCTGCCCAATTAATCTGAGACTAGAAATAATGCCCGTTGTGGAAATAAATACAACGAGGTCTAGAAAGAGGCTCTGGGAGAGTGCTCTGGCTTTGGGCAAACAGTGTCAGTCTGCTTTTAAGACATGAACCTGGGACCTGCACACCACCAGAATACAGCAGGTTCCATATGCAACTGACATTCCAACTGCCTTGGGGGGGGGGGGGGAGTTTGAGGTGTGGAATGGAGTGAAGTCCAATCAGCTTCCATATGCAAAAGACCAGGTTGTCGCAGCAGTTGTGGTGTGGGCGGGACCCGGGCTTTGCCTTCTGATTGGTGGCGATATATGCTGAGGAGCAGTGCCATCAGCCATACACTAAGGGAGTGCATTTTAGAATTAGAACTTTGGCACCCACTATTCAATTATATATAAGAAGAGATTCTCCTGAAACTGACCCTGAGTCTTCCTGTATGCAAAGCAAGCGGACTACCACTGAGCAGTTCTCTTCAAGGCTGTGTTTGGGCTGCTGAGGGATTTGAACCTACGTGAGGGCAGTTTGGTGGCTGCAGGCATTAGGTCTTATTGTCCTTCTATCCATGGAGCTGTCCTTAGCATGGGAGATCAGAGGCGCAGTGGTGGAGAGAGAGCCAGCTGAACACGGGAGCAAATAAATCAGTTTATCCAAAGGTACCTCTGCCCTAGGAGCTGTGGTGGCTCAAGTGGTTAAGACGCTGAACTGCAGGCTGTGGAAGGGCAGTAGTTCAGCAGTTCGAGACCCGAGTGTGCCGCATGACGGAGTGAGCTCCCGTCTCTAGTTCCAGCTCCTGCCAACCTAGCAGTTCGAAAGCAAGACATTGCAAGTAGATAAATAGGGACCACTTCGGTGGGAAGGGAACAGCGTTCCGTGCGCCTTGGTGTTTAGTCATGCTGGCCACATGACCACGGAAACGTCTTCGGACAGCGCTGGCTCTTCGGCTTGGAAACGGAGATGAGCACCGCAACCCTAGAGTCGGATTCGACTGGCTTTCGAGCAAGGGAAACCTTTACCTTTACCTTACCTCTGCCCTGGCCTGGAGGGCACAGGCTGGCCTGGTCCTGTCAGATCTCAGAGGCTAGGCAGAGTCAGCCGTGGATAGTGTTTGGATGGGAGACCGTGCAGGACGTCCAGGGTCGCTACGCAGAGGCAGGCAATGGCAAAAACCACCTCTGAAAGTCTCCTGCCTTGAAAATCCTCTGGTGTTGCCATAAATCGGCTGTGACTTGACGGCAGCGTCCACCACTAGCAACAGCTATATCTCCTCTAGTCTTGCTCTGTGAGATCCTTTTAGCTGGAGGTACGGTGGCTCAGAGATTAAGACGCTGAGTTGCAGACCGGAAGGTCAGTAGCTCGGCAGCTCGAGACCCGAGTGCTGCATGACGGAGTGAGCTCCCGTCTCTGGCCCCAGCTCCTGCCAGACTGGCAGTTTGAAAGCACGAAATTGCAAGTCGATAAATAGGTACCGCTTCGGTGGGAAGGGAACAGCGTTCCATGCGCCTTGGTGCTTAGTCATGCCGGCCACATGACCACGGAAACATCTTTGGACAGCGCTGGCTCTTTGGCTTGGAAACGGAGATGAGCACCGCAACCCTAGAGTCCGATTCGACTGGCTTTTGAGAAGGGAAACCTTTAACCTTTACCGTAAGGACAGTTGAACTTCAGACATTCTTCAGTTGAGCCAATGTGGTACAGTTACTTAGAGTGTCGGGTTAGGATCTGGGAGACCCAGGTTCGAATCCCCACACTGCCATGGAAGCTGGCTGGGTAACCATGAACCAGTCGCACACTCTCAGCCTAGCCTACCTCACAGGGTTGTTGTGGGGGTTCAGTGGAGGAGAGGAGAATGATATAATACAATTTGGGTCCCCATTGGGGAGGAAGGTGGGGTATAAGTGAGCTAATTAATTAAATAAGTAAACTAGAGACCAGAAGCCTGCCCCCCCCCAAAAAAAAAGACACTGCAAAAATCCGGAGGGGGTGTCCTATTAAAAACAAAACAGGAGTTCAGCTTTTTCCACCAGAAAACCTGGGAATTTCTGGAGGGCACTGGAAACTCTTGTGATATGTTTTCTGTTTTGAAATTAGGGCAAGACGAGATTTTGCTCACTCAAAACGTGCAGTAGGAAGACTTTTATGTAAGATAGTCTGCAGTGTTAGATAAGAAGTCCTGCATGTACTGTGGACATGTACAGCATATTTGCAAGGATATGCAGGGAAAGACGAGATTTTGCTCACTCAAAACGTGCAGTAGGAAGACTTTTATGTAAGATAGTCTGCAGTGTTAGATAAGAAGTCCTGCATGTACTGTGGACATGTACAGCATATTTGCAAGGATATGCTTATTGTTTAAAGGCGATTAATTATGCCCACAATGAATATGCTACTCTGTGTGTGATGATAATACACTATTGAATAGCTCAGTTCTTTTGGTTTTAGAGACGGCTTATGTGCTGAGTGTGTTTGTGGAATGTAAAAGCACGGGAAGACAAGGATCTTACCCTCTGCCCCCAAGTCCTGGGTTCATCTAATGTCAGGAATGTATATATTTTGGGGTATGGTATACAGGCCTCCTGTGCAGTGCCCAGACTTTGACTTCAGATGGATCTCTATCATTCTCATTGCTTTCTCCTTTTCTGCTGTCGGTCATGTGGTTTTGCTTACCCAAGGAGTGTGTGTTAACATGGTTGGTATTACCACTCTGGGTGGGTCATTGTTTGTTGCCATGCTTATACAGAAGCAGGGAATGCAAAGTGAAAGGCAGGTGAGCTTTACAGCAGGTAAGTGCCACTGCCGAAGCTGTCCTTTTGCACCCCATTTCCTGTTTACATAAGAACATAAGAGAAGCCAATGTTGGATCAGGCCAATGGCCCATCCAGTCCAACACTCTGTCACACAGGGGCCATCAGGAGGTCCACCAGTGGGGCCAGGACACTAGAAGCCCTCCTACTGTTGCCCCCACCCCCAAGCACCAAGAAGACGGAGCATCATTTGCCCCAGACTGAGAGTTCCTCTCTATACCTTGTGGCTAAGAGCCACTGATGTATCTCTGCTCCATATGCTTATCTAATTCCCTCTTGAAGCCGTCCATGCTTGTAGCTGCCACCACATAAGAACATAAGAGAAGCCAATGTTGGATCAGGCCAATGGCCCATCCAGTCCAACACTCTGTCACACAGTGGCCAAAAATACCAGGTGCCATCAGGAGGTCCAGCAGTGGGGCCAGGACACTAGAAGCCCTCCCACTGTTGCCCCCACCCCCAAGCACCAAGAATACAGAGCATCACTTGCTCCAGACTGAGAGTTCCTTTCTATACCTTGTGGCTAAGAGCCACCGATGTATCTCTGCTCCATATGCTTATCTAATTCCCTCTTGAAGCCGTCCATGCTTGTAGCTGCCACCACATAAGAACATAAGAGAAGCCAATGTTGGATCAGGCCAATGGCCCATCCAGTCCAACACTCTGTCACACAGTGGCCAAAAATACCAGGTGCCATCAGGAGGTCCAGCAGTGGGGCCAGGACACTAGAAGCCCTCCCACTGTTGCCCCCCCCCAAG